TTTAACTTGTCTAATTAAAACTACGTTCTACATAAAAGACCAAAATTCAACAAAGTTTTGGATATATATCTGGGGAGATTAAAAGGAAAAGTGGATTAAGAGATTTGCAAACAATTTGTGAGCAGGGAAGGTGACGCATTTATGTTCCGGGAGCATTAAATAATAAAGCGTTATATTTTAGTGGTGTGCATTTGGGTAATGGAATTTTTATGTCGCCATTAATTTGTAATAGTGATGGACGTCGCTGCTGTTATGTGCTAATTATTTTAAAAGTATTTTTATATATATTGTGGTATACATACATAAACATTATTAGTTTTCACAATTTGAACTGGAATATGCATCGGCAAATCCGTGGAAATAAAACATAATTTCTTGGGTAAGGATAATAATGATTTAAAACAAAATTACCGATGAGAATGATAATTTGTGGAATGTCTAAATACTGATCCTAAACTGTAATTACGAGGGTGGTCTGAAAAGTTTCCGACCTCAACATGAAAATGGCAGCACTCGTAAATAAAAACTAGTGAATTTCGTTGTTCATCTGTTGACAGTTACTCACCAAAGTTTCAGCCATTTTGGGCGCGCAGTTGTTATGTAACAGTCGTTTGAGTGAGTTGATGTGAGTGTTTTTATGAAAATGGACAAAATCGAGTATCGAGCTGTTATTAAATATTTGTTTTTGAAAGGCAATACGCCTACGCAAATCAGAGATGAGTTGGATTCTGTGTATGGGGACTCTGCACCATCATTTACCACAGTGAAATTTTGGGCAGCAGAATTTAAACGTGGCCGCAAGAGCTTGGGAGACGATGAACGTTCGGGACTTCCAAAAACTGCAACTACCGACGTAAACATCGCCAAAGTTCACCAAATTGTGCTAGACGACCGCCGATTTAAAGTGAGAGAGATAGCAGAGGTTATGAACATGTCAAAATAACGTGTTTGTCACATATTAAATCAACATTTAAACATGAGAAAGCTGTCCGCGCGTTGGGTGCCGCATTTGCTCACGTTAGACCAAAAACGTGTTCGAATGAACATTTCCAACGCTCTGTTGGCGCAGTTTAAGCGCAATAAATCCGAGTTTTGGCGCCGATTAATTACTGTAGATGAAACTTGGATACGCCATTATACGCCCGAAACAAAAATATAGTCCAAACAGTGGACTGCAAAGGGAGAACAGGCTTCAAAAAAAGCAAAAAATTGTTTTTTCGGCTTGGAAATTGATGGCGACTGTTTTTTGGGATAGTCATGGAGTTATTTTAGTCGATTAACTTCAAAAAGGAAAAACCATCACAGGAGCATATTACGCATCATTACTTGACAAGCTGAAGGCAGAACTTGTGGAAAAACGGCCACATTTGCAGAAAAAGAAAATCCTGTTTCACCAAGACAACACACCGTCTCACACCTCAGCGATTGCCATGGCGAAAATCCGCGAATTACGGTTTGAACTGCTTGACTATTGGCCTTACTCATCAGATCTAGCCCCAAGCGACTTCTTTTTGTTCCCTCATCTAAAAATTGCGCTCGGAGGTCAGAGATTTTCGTCAAATGAAGAGGCAATCACCTTCGTGAACAATTATTTTGCAGAGAAAAACGCTGAGTACTATTTGGACGGGTTACAGAGATGGGAGCATCGCTGGGAGAAGTGTGTAGAGTTACAAGGAGACTATGTTGAAAAATAAAAAAAAAATTCTGAAAAAATGTCTTGTATCTTTGTTAGGTCGAAAACTTTTCAGACCATTCTCGTATATAATGAAACATTTAGGAATTAATCTTAGTGGCTGTGTTTATACGAGTAGTTCTCAAAGCACTCAACCGTGTTAATGATAATCTTTTATTAATAAAATTAACGCCTCTTGGTGTTTCAGGAAAATTATTGTAATGGACGAAGACTTAATCAACAGGTCATTCTCACTAGCTAGGCGATTCTGTCTCAGGTAGTTAATATTAATGTATTAAAGAATAACATTAAGAACCATTCCGTTCCAATACGTAGTTGAAGCATCTGCTCTGTTGTAAGTATTTAAAACATTCTTGAACTTTAAATAAGTTGTGAATCACTTTTTTTCATACTATGATTGAAAATAAATTATAATATTTAAGATGAGTATTAATTTCTAATGAATATTAACAGCTTATGGGGGATATCAGGAGCGGCGATAATCTCCTTACCACACAGCACCCACAAATTACAATCTTTAGGTTGGTCAGTATATGGTCCTATGAAGAAATATATTGATACTACTTGCGACTGCCGGATATGCATTAATCCATATAAAACCACGTCAATATACAATATTCCAAAAATCACAAAAGATGCCTATCCTTTGGTGGCAAGTCCAAGGAACAATCAAGCTGGACTTAGAGCAGCTGGAATTTATCCCTGTAAGAGGAACATCTTTGCTGATGACGATTTTCTTCCTGCAGCTTTTACAAACCATCCAAATTCAGAAAATACTGACTTTTCCGATATGACTTTGCACCATATACATCAAACTGTTTCTAATGTATCTATCGGTGATGAAATGCAGGATGTTTTCCCGAATATATCAAACGGGCATGGAAGAGAAGTAGCCAAAATGGAAGTAACACCTAGAAGTTCACCTGCTATGAAGAAATTACTTCCAGTGTCGCCAAAAATTGGAAAACGAATTGCTTCCGGAAGAGAACGAGAACTCGGCCAAATAGCAATTTGGGCCGAACAGGAGAAACTAGAAAGTGAACTTAAGAGAAAAGAATTGAAAGAAATTAAAAAAGAACAAAACAATCAGGCACTAAGAGAAAAATGTGCAAAACTAAAATGGAACAAGATGACACGGACTTTTTGTTAAATATTGAGGAGAATCGTTCTCTCTCAAGTATAGTGCTCCGATCAAAATCCATATTTTATTTGAGTAAATTGTTATTCCGACGACGACATAGGGTAATGAGACTTGTTAATACGAACTAGGTAATTGGGGTTATTTGTGACATTTTGTGTGACCCTGTGAATAACTTTGTTTATATCAGTTTCTACCAATGTTTTTATGTTTTCTTTTAATAGGAAATACTGAGTAACAAATATATCTCAAAGATGTAGAGATGTAGAGATGTAGAGATGTAACAATCCTCACAACAATCTTGGTGCCAACTACAATTATAGGGTACTTATATTAAAGTTATCAACATAAATCCATATAAATATGTGCTGTAATTTATTTCATATTTCACATTATTTTACTGTGCGATTTAAACCAAATTCATTTGAGTCCTGTCGGCAGGATGTGTAATGATAAAGTAGTGGAGTGGAGACTACGGGTTACCTTCTGCCTGCATTTCTATCTCATTCTCCATCATGGGCTCTTTTTTTAATTTTTGCATTTCAGGAACCAAGTGAAATTTGTCCAATCTTGTATAAAAAAGGTACTAGCTAAAAAGTTGAAGATCCATTTGATATTTAGCATTGAACGCGAGTGACCTTGAATCTTTTTGTTTTTGAGACATGTCATTGTGTTTAGTAACTATTAACTATTATTTAGTAACTTCAGTAAAAGAAACTGTTTTAAATACAGGGTGTCCCGAAATTTGGTCACAGATTCTTAAAACAAATTTAGGGGACCCGTATTTTTTATTTTTGCCAAGTGGCCCCCTCTTTCGGAGTTACAGCCCCCTGAAATCCACCCCTAAGAATATTTTTTTTTATATCTCAGAACCCTGTTGTACGAAAATCACTAAATTTGGTACACAGGGGTTTTATGACATGAGAAATCCGATGGTGCTACGTTTTTGGCGGGGAACCCACGTAAGACAATTTTTCGTAGGCCCCCTTGTTTTTGAAGCCAACAAAATTTGGTCGAATATTTAAATTTCTTAAAAATTATTAGTCCACTAGAAAGCCATTAAATTTAGAAACTTTTTGTCGTTTTATACATTTTTCATAAAAGGCAATGTTTTCGACTCGCCATTTTCCTCAAAAACATTGCGTTTTACGAAACAAATATCAAGAGACAAAAAAGTTTCTAAATTCAATGGCTTTCTAGCTAACTAATAATTTTTTAAAAAATCAAATTTGCGACGAAATTTTTCTGGTTCCAAAGACAAGGGGGCCCACGAAAAAGTCACTTAAGGGGGTTTCTCGCAAAAAAGTGTAGCACTGTGAGAGTTGGAATACAGTCCGGCTTCATAAGAAACCTACAAACTCGTAAAAGGTGTTACAGAATTATTTGTAAGTACTCGTCGCGATAAAATAAATGTATTTCAGTAGTTCCAAAACAGTTTTAAACGCATTTTTCATTAGCCTTTTTCTCTATGACCTTAAACTTCCGATACAAGTTTGTGACATCAATTAACTCAGTTTTTGCTCCTTTTTCATCGCTTTAAATTTTTGACATAAGTTTATTAACACCCTGTATACCTATAATAATTAAAATAGTATTAAGTATCTAATTACTTTACAAATAGATTTTTTATATCAGTAATATTAACGTCAAATATATCAAGCTGTTCTTGTATATCAGTACAATTTTGACACATATTACACTCGTATAAAAGGACGAAAACTTCAAGGCATTTGTTTGTGGAGTGGTAAGATAAAATGTTCTGAAGTTTCGTGTTCCAAAGGTAGCTAGACACATGGATATTTAACATGTGGAATATATTCGGACAATTGATATTGATATAAGAATATTAAGGAACAAAGTTTCCGTCTATCAGACTGAGAAATGAAAATCTATCCAATAGTTGCTTAGATGAATGCCAATAGGTGGGGACACGTTGTCAACTTTAAAGGTTACAAAGGTTAGATGAGGCTTGATATTTTCAATGCTGTTGGAATATTTACCTGGAATCCAAATTAGAGAATACTAAAGTGATAATTTAAAAAGAGAACTAGAGACGGAACAAACCAAGCCGTTAATCGAGCAAACAGTTTCATTTGACTTGGCTTAATATCCCGTATATCTGCGATACATTTTTTTCTGTAATTTAATAAATGATGGTTTTTTTTTCAGCGGCTCTAGCGGAGGTTCAAGGGGCCCCAGACCTATATCTGCGTGCCGGCTCTCTCCTAAGACTTGTGTGCACGTTACGGGACTCCACGGAGCCCCCGGAGTTCGTGTTCTGGTACCATGAACAACGTATGATCAACTACGACCCGGGCGTCACAGTGAAGGAGGGGCGGAGCTCGAGCATCCTGCAACTCCAGGAGGCCGACAAGAGCCACAACGGCAACTACACGTGCAAACCCTCTAATGCTGTCCCAGCATCTATTAATGTCCATGTTCTCAATGCCACTGCCGGTTAGTATACTTTTGTGTAAAGTGTGTAGGATGCTAATACACGAGGATCTTGTGCTAAGTACACGGAATCATACTGTCATAAGATTTATGACTCTGTTAGCTGCTCATGCACAAGTATTCCTTGCTGTAAGGAGGATGATACATGTGGGTGTCGTCAGTATGTTTGGTAAATCCTGTCATTTTATCAAGATGGACATATTTGTAGCAAAAAATGTTTGATGACAATTTTCTTAAACTTACAAGCAAAAGTAATCAGTTTATATACAACAGAATTAAGTTTTTATTGTTGGAATATTAGACGAATTAAAAAAAAATTAGTATTTTCGTACCCAAAACATGTTGGCATATTTAAGTAAAGACCATTTTCCATCATGTTACTTTTGTTCGTAATCTGAAAATCTGACAGAAAATGGTAATAGTAGTAAAAAATAGTAAAATTTGAGAATAAATCGTTCAGCAACTTATTAATAGGTTAATAATAAACCAATTCTATTTACAGAGCGAGCCCATGTATAAAAAATCCACAACCATATATTATGCAACTGGAAATAACTACTTTCTGAATTTATATTTTATTTTTATTTATATAAGTTGAACAAAGTGTAATGTTTTCCATAAAGCATTGTACTTTGTAATAAATTTTTTGTATTAGATCTTGTTAAACAGTCATAAAGATAAGGTGTCCCAGATTTATTATGAGAAAACGTACGAATAGGCAGAGTCAGGAAAAATCATAATGGAATGTTGTTGTTTTCAAATTATACCGTATTTTATTATTACATTATAAATGGCGATTGTTTTGAATAATTTTCGAGAACGAACATTCGAATACAAGTTATTGAATTCCACAAAGCTTTATTTCGTCATTTTTGATAACAATTACATCCAATTTGCATCGAAAATGCGATGGTAATAAATAAAATAATTCATTACATAAAAACCGTTAAGAATACAAAAAATATATCAACCGGAAGAAAGCTTTATTACAAAATGAGGGTAACCTACTTACAAAGAAAACATGAACAAAGTTGGTTAGGTGTCGGAGTATTTTCATCATTTCCGTAAATGCAAATACTTTGGCTACTATGTCAAAAAATAATATGACCAACATATCAAGTTTTATTTATATTTGAACTTAAACATTGTAATGAACCCCAACCAAAATAAAAAATAAAAATAATAATTTAGTTACGCAGATATCCCATGAATGATTTGTCTTTTCCTATGTTTATAATGTATGAACCTAATTCTGTATTTAATGTGAGTCTAAACAAATATCCGGTGAATAGTTTGTCACGTCACCAGTCGGCTATAAAAGCTGAGTTTCGAGAATGAAAAGTCAGTGTGGGTAAAGAGCGATAGTTTCGCTCAACCGCGTCCCATCCGAAGTCATTTTTCCTACCAAGGATATTGGTGCGTGAAGAAACAGTAGTGTTGACCGGCATTCCTCAGCACGAAGTAAGTCCTCTCTCCCTTGGTATCGGCTTTCTTACCAACGTTCCCTATCCTTGCCCCTGAAGATCCGAGGGCCGGCTTGCCCTCTCGAAGCACTCAGGAACTACCGTTACCGTTTCGTCTGGAAACATGGCGAGGGCTTTCCTGCCTGATTCTAGAATTATTGGCCCCTGAAGGTCCGAGGGTCGGCTTTCCCTCTCGGAGCACTCAAAAGCTACCGTCACCTTTTCGTCTGGGAACACTACGTCGGCTTTCCTGCCTGTTTGCGGAAATAAATGAAATTGTATTTATTGTATACAGGGTGATTTAGAACTTATCCAAAAAAAAATTTGGATGTACAAGGAACGCTTACAAACACAATTTTGTAAAAAAATTAAAAAGGGCAATTTAAAAATACACCTCTACATGGCACTGGAAACTAGTCCACTGTAAAACCTGACCTTACACAAGGCGAAGTGTAATAAAAACTTAAAAGAATTTCGCAAGGAAAGAAATAAATAGAATTTTATAACACCTATTTTATATCAGCAAATTCAACTGATTCTGCCTCTATTGTTATTATTAATTAATTAAATTAATTTGTGGTTTTACTTAATAAAGTAATTTGGCATACCTGATGTTACAACAACTGTTCAATTTTGTCCATCGACGCACAGTGGGAAATATTGGAAAAAATTCTCGCCACTCGCCAATTATCATCGTCTCGTCGTGATTTTTTTTAAATAATCTCGTTGTAATGTGAATTTTCATATTCCGGTGAGGTTTTTTCGAAAAACCCTTTTTTTAATGCTTATGGAGCGCCCCTTATTATGACCCTTGATATATCTGATGTTTTTTCTTCAAAAACCTAACTCCAAATATATCATCAAGGGTCATAATAATCAATTTTTATTGATAGCTGATACTTTTAAAAAAAATTTTCTGCAACTGAACATCGAGTATTTAAAATTTTTTTCTTCGACATTGAGGTTGGGGCCCTCCCTAAGCATTAAAAAACAAAAAAAAGAGTTTTTCGAAAAAACCTCACGACGATAAGATGAAAATTGGCGAGTGGCGAGAATTTTTTCCAATATTTCCCACTGTGCGACGTGTAAACACAGTTTCTGCGAATTATCACAAATGTTGTCATGCTTCACCATAACACAAATGCTTCACCGTAACACAAATGTTGTCTTGCTTCACCATAAATTAAAACAATATCCATCAACTCCGAGTTGCTATATACGTAAGAAATTTTTGGCACTAACTACTAAAATACTATGATAAATACTATCGCAACGTTAATACTAATTGTAAAAACGGATTTGAGTATTTGGAGTAGCTGGGGCTCTCCACGCTATATGATTTTTATTTTAACACCACTGAAAATTACATAAAGTTTTACGTAAGGTTTTAAAAAATGATAGAAATATCTTTTGTTAATAGCTGTAATGAAATAAAAATCAACTTTTTGGGTTATTCTTTAATCAATTTTAAGGGGTATGTTTATAAAAATCTGTTTAACAAGTATTACCCTCGGAGCTCGAAATGATTTACACTATATGCGTAACATTAGTATTATATTTTCACTAAAGCCAGTATAAATAAAATATCAAACGATTTTATCAAATTTACGCAACTGGATTATATTGGTAGCTAGATATACATATACTAAAATGTTGAAATGTATGTAAATCGCTGGGAGTTTTTATCAGTCTAGAAAAATTAATTGAAAACGTCTCCGTCACGTCACTAAAAAGTTAATCAAACTTATTTTCTCATACTATCCAAAACATGTAAAGAACAGATACTTGTCGATAATGTAGACATCTTATTTTTCTATTTACACACATTGGGAATGTCATCATCGAATGTATGTAAGAAGCATGAGGCATTTGCTTTAAGCGGCACTATTGGAATTTTTTGTCGATGAAGCTTTTTTAAAACGCGCTTTTATGTCATGATGAGTTGAATTCATGTGAAAAAATGTACATTTGTGAAATTGATTCCTTTATAAATATTTATTTATTTAATCCAACTGAAATTCCTATCCTTAATCGACGATTTATGAAATATAGTTTTACTTAGAAGCGTTAAAAAAATATATTTGTTTGCAAGATATATGGCATTACTCCTACTAAATGTAATTTTCAAGGATTTATTGTTCAAGTTGGAAATAAATTCAGCATGAATTATCACAATTTTACTATATAGTGCGTTCATGATGAAAGGAACAAATTCTTTAATATTTAGGTAATTATTTTGTGAAAAAACGCTCGGACACGGCGTTTAGTATTTTTTCCTAGACTTTCTTCAGTTTGAACTAATTCCCGCTTTAGGTGTTGTGTTTCCTAATCCAAAAGATCCAGATATTCCTCATAGTGGCATATGGTTCCAACACGATGGGGCACCTCCTCATTTTGCAATTACAGTTCCACAATTTTTTTACTTAATTTTCTCTAATAAATGGATTGGTTGCAGATGTCCTATTGAGTGGCCACCAAGGTCACTGGATTTAACCCCTGTAGATTTCTTCTTATGTAGTTATTTGAAATTTAAAGTTTATGTGAATAGATCAAATAATCTTGATGACCTGAAGCAGAGAATACGATAGGAAATAAGACTTATTCCAGCAGATGTAATTGAAAACGTTCAACGGGAAACAGTCCTTCCATTACAAAAACGTATTGAAGTAAACGGATAAAACATTGAACATTTATTATAAATTGGTATTTAAATAATGTTTTATGACTAAACATATTTTTTTCCATTAATCACATTTCAAACGTCATTAGTACGAAAACCGCTGATTTTAGAGATATGGTATGTTCTACAAAAAGTGATTAGAATTTACCGTACAATTCAAAAATAGTATAATATATAGAGTGTTCCATAAAAAAATGAGTTATTCTGGGAAACGGCTGAGAAAAATAAATTATTTTAGAAACTATTGCATTTCTGATTACTTTTGCTTGAAGGTAGGGTCAAAATACAGAAATTATCCTTACTACGCTAGGCGCCACGGCGCTTCAAAAATTTTTTTTCCAGCAACATATATTTTTTAATATGTCACGATAAAGATTCCTTAATTTAGAATATTTTTCCTATATAAGGTTTTTTTATGTTCCCATTATTTAAAATGTTGTCGATTCCCAAATCGTACTTTGTTAATAAGACACCATCATCAAACTATATAAACATATTAAATGACACTAAAGTTTAAAAGCTTTGCTGTAATTCTCCAATGCCAATTGTCCAACAGTGAAAAACAATTGCCAAATTTTTATCTGTTGTGATACTTTATTATTTTACTTTACTATTTTTTGAATAAATACAAGCGGGCTAGGCAAAAAACAGTATTTGTTTTCATATGACATATTCTCAATAAGAAGTGTAGAATTTTGAGGGATTTAATAATCATTATAGAGTTTATAGAATTAATTTTTGAAGTGTTGTGACCTTTCATTAGTAGTAGTTACTGAAAAGTAGCAGTAATAAAATGTTTTCCCATGACGAAAGAGTGGATATGCTGTTAATTTTCTGAGAAGCCCAGAAAAATGCATTAC